TTTGTCCTATTTGTCCTTTGGCAAAACAGACAAGATTTTCTTCTCCACAAAGTACTAGTAGGACTTCTAAAGTATTTGATTTGATACATGGTGATGTATGGGGTTCCTATAAAATCCCTACCTATGATGGGAATAGATTTTTCCTCACTTTAGTAGATGACTATAGTAGAATCGTTTGGATATTTCTGCTCAAACTTAAAAGTGATGTACCTACTGTAATAAAAGACTTCATGACTCTTGTAAAGACTCAGTTTAACAGTGCAATAAAAGTGTTCAGGACAGACAATGGAACAGAGTTCTTTAACTCGCATTATACAGACATATTTAGGAATACAGGTGTAGTTCATCAAAGCTCTTATGTCTACACACCTCAGCAGAATGGAGTAGTAGAAAGGAAACACAGACAGATTCTTGAAGTTGCTAGGGCCATCAAGTTTCAGGGAAGAATTCCACTGAGGTTCTGGGGATTTTGTGTACAGAATGCAGTGTATCTGATCAATAGAATCACATCCACAGCATTAGCAGGAAAGTCTCCTTTTGAAATGTTCTATGGTCGACCACCTAGATTGCAGCATCTCAGGGTTCTGGGAAGCCTATGCTATGCTACTGTCACTGATAGAAGTGACAAATTTGGAGTTAGAGCAGAACCGGCAGTGCATATGGGATATTCATCCACTCAAAAGGGTTATAGGCTATACAGTCTCACTAACAAGCATTTTTTTGTAAGCAGGGATGTATCTTTCAAGGAATACACTTTTCCTTTCAAGACCACAACTTCCACAGGCAGGAGGCCTAATGCCGAGTAGTTTATTGATGCAGATGATGCTTTCATCATTGATCCTACCTCCGAGGTCTCAGAGATAGCTCTTGATTCAGTAATAACACCTCCATCTTCTCCTGAGGCTTTCTCAACTCCTAATCCTGAGGCTTCCTCAGCTCCTAATCCTGTTGATCCAGCTTCTGAGACTCTGCAGCAGCCTCACCTCACATCACCTCCTACAGCAGTGATGCCATACCCAACTATGTCTCCCTTACATGATTTGCCAGAAGGGGGACTAAGGAAGTCTACTAGGACTTCCAAACTACCTGGCTGGCTCAATGGCTTTGTTCATGGAATGCCAAAAGTTGGTCCTTCTACTGCTTTGGGTTCCAGTTATCCCATGTCTGCATATATGTCATATGCTTCATTGTCTCCACCTTACTTCAAAGCACTTTGCTCTTTCTCAACTGTTACAGAACCAACTTTCTATGCTGCTGCTCTTCAAGATCCTAAGTGGATTACAGCCATGGATGCAGAGTTACAGGCCGTACATGACAACCACACCTGGAGGTTAGTTCCTTTGCCAACTGACAAGAGAGCTATAAGGTGTAAATGGGTGTTTAAGGTGAAATACAATGCCAAAGGTGAGGTGGAAAGGTACAAAGCTCGTTTAGTGGCCAAAGGTTACATACAACAAGAGGGTCTTGATTATGAAGAGACCTTCTCGCCTGTGGTGAAAATGGTCACAGTAAGGACTGTTTTATCTTTAGTTGCTATGAAAGGATGTAAGTTGCACCAAATGGATATATTTAATGCTTTTCTTCAAGGTGATTTGCTGGAAGAAGTATATATGACTCCACCCCCTGGTCTTCTAGGTAAGGGGAGCCTCCTAGAATTTGCAAGCTTCAAAAGTCCTTGTATGGGCTCAGGCAGGCCTCTAGGCAATGGAACTTGAAGCTCAGTGAAGCCCTCTCATCCTCAGGTTTTGTACAGAGTCATCATGACTATTCTCTCTTCAGTAAGAGCTCTGGTTTTGACTTTCTCATTATCCTCATCTATGTGGATGACCTCTTAATCACTGGATTATCTCCTCAGTTAATTCAGGATGCCAAAGTTGTGCTTCAACATCACTTTAAGATCAAGGACCTGGGGGAGATGAGATACTTCCTTGATCTTGAAGTTGCAAAAAGCAAACATGGCATTTTGGTTTGTCAAAGGAAGTTCACTCTTGATCTCATTGCCACACTTGGGCTTGCAGGTTCTAAACCAGCCTGTACACCTCTAGACACATGCCATAAGCTCACCAGTACAGAATATGATCATGCCAATGCACAAGGAACTCTAGATACTGATGAATTGCTTAGTGATCCAAGCAGCTATCAAAAATTAGTTAGGAAGCTGTTGTACCTTACCATGACAATGCCAGACATCAGTTATGCAGTACAGAACTTAAGCCAGTTCATGCACAAGCCAAAGAAGTCACATATGGAAGGAGCATTGAGGGTGGCAAGGTACCTAAAGAATGCACCTGAGTTGGAAATTTTGCTATCATCTCAATCTTCTGACCAACTCACAGTATATTGTGATGCAGACTGGGCCACTTGCCCAATGACTAGAAGGTGAGTGAGTGAGTTTGTAATAAAGCTGGGTGACTCTCTTATCTCCTGAAAGTCCAAGAAACAAAATACAGTGTCAAGGAGCTCTGCAGAAGCTGAGTACAGAAGTATGGCCAATGCAATAGCAGAAGTGGTCTGGTTAACAGGGTTGTTCAAAGAGTTGAATGTGGGCTTGAAACTTCCAGTGAAGCTGTATTGTGATAGTAAAGCGGCTATTCAGATTGCTGCAAATCCCATCTATCATGAAAGGACCAAACATATCGAGATTAACTGCCATTTTATTCGAGAGAGAATTCAACAAGGCCTAATCCAGACTACACATGTCTCTACAAACCTACAGATAGCAAATGTACTAACCAAAGGACTGGGGAAGGCACAACATGATTTTCTATTGTCCAAGCTGAGAGTGTACAACTTATTCACACTACACAGTTTGAGGGGGAGTATTTATGATATAGACACAAGGGTAGTTAAGTAATTACAGTGTAGAGGGTAATTATGTAATTTGTGAATTAGTTTGTTTAGAACAATATATTAATACGGTAGCTTCCTTCTTCAATATAGATATACAAGAGTTCTCATTTTTCTCAGTCTCTCTTCTCTCTTTTAACTATGTCCAAGCTTTAGCTCAAGCACTTTCATGGCAGTATCTGACATAAAGATTTTAATGTACCGTAACAATCTCATAGTATTTACTACTCCTAGTAGTAGACAGTTTGTTTTGACAAATTACAGTAAATACCCATGTAATATGACTCAATTGCAGATATTGATAGAAAAATACTTTTGATATCTCAAAAAGAAATATTCCAAAACTATGTCTAGATTCATTTTCTTACAATTATATTAATGAGTCATTATTATAGTAATTATCTTAAATATATTTGTAACAGTACATTAGTTTAACTTTGAATTCAATTTGGACAAAATAAATCTGATTATTGAATGCTCATTAGTGGGTAATTTGAACGTCACTGTTGAAAGAATAATTGACCATTTGATAGCCTTAATTAATGGCTTTGGATTTTAACGATTTTGGAAGCTTTGAAAAGCCTTTATGGGTTTGACAGTTTTCATATAAGATTGTGCATTTCTTTTGCACTATTTATACTTCTTTGGGTTTACATCTTGAAAAGTGAACGAAGAAAAAAGTAAAAACTTTCCATCTTATTTTCTTCTACTGTGTTGGTTTATTTTGTTAATCTTTGTTTCTGTTTCTAGTTATACTAGAAGAGCTTGTTGAATCCCGAGGGATACACTTAATTTTATTTATCACAGTGTAGGCGAAATATCCTTAAGGACAATATTTTTGACACGCCTCAAGCTAAATCTTATTCTCCATAATCCAATATTTTTTCGGGGCTAGCCATTCACACTTACTTACCGGGGCATCCAAGCTTCTCCTCTGCACGTGTCCGAACCATCTAAGCCTAACTTCCCGCATCTTGTCTTCCATGAGAGCCATGTCACCTTCTTCCGAATATCTTCATTCCTAATCGTATTCAGCCTAGTGTGCCCGTACATCCATCTCAACATATTGATTTCTGCAACTTTCATTTCGAGCCGAGTCATGCGAATAAAAATAATCTTGGTAGAAAGCGTTTTCACCTTTAATAGATCTTATGCGGTGCAAATCTGAACAAAGTGTTAGTGGTGATATAGCATACCTGAGTGAAAAAATAACAGTGTGTTTTTTTAGCAAAGGTTCTTTATCCCTAAATATCACTTCAGGGTAAAAAAATTCAATTATCCAATTGCACTTCAACTATACAAAAGGAGACAATTGAGACAGGTACTAGTACTACAAGGGAATCTCAATCATAAATAAGAGTCACAATCAATAATGCTTCATTTTTTTTTTTTTACAGTAGCCATAATTACTCTTTCATCTATACAGTTACTTAACTCACTTCCACACTCAAAACAAAACAGAAACCAAACAGGGAAGTGAAAAGGAAAAAATAAGAAGAAGAGGAAGAAGAAGAAAAGATTCAAAAAAAGAAAGAAAATTTCAGTATACTCATTTTTACCTTCAAACATGATGCTAAAATATTTGATTTTATATATTATTGTTAGTTTAAATAAAAAGTATTTAGGATTTAGGCTTTGAATTTAATGTGGGACTTTTTTAATCAGCTAACTTTGTTATACTTATTATTTAATGCTGATGTATACACAAGTCCATATTAAATATGGTGTCTTGTCAAAGTGAAAATGACTGATAGGAGTGAGGTATGCCCGCAAATTCCAAATACCATAAAGAATTGGATTTAAGTTATATACACATATGATGGCATGAATTTTTTACATCATAAATATTACTAATTTAATACTCCTATGTTATATCATGTTACTTATTATTCATTTAAAATGACCAGTTAATTATAAATAAAAATAATACTATATAATTACCTCTTAAAGTGACATGTTACTATAGTTAAACCTTGCTATAATAGTACTTAACTACAGTGATTAAGTTTTTTTTAGACTAATTTTATAATATATTATAATAATACTTCATTATTAATATCGGAATAAAAACAAAATTGTTATAGAAAAGGTTTATAAGGTAACAACACAGAACTTTAAACAATTACATTGCTGTCTGAAAATACATATTCTCTCAACTTTTTCCACCTTCACATGTTTATTTATTATTTCTGTCTGTGTAATCAAAATTCTGTTTGCTTTTTGTTTCACTTCTTGTATCTTTGTTTCATACTTAGCTTCTGTATCCCTCTCTTTATACCCCACAAAAGCAAAGAAAAAGGAACTGAAGCCTGAAGGTACTGAACTGAAGCTCCTCATATGACCCTTCATTTTAGGCGGATAAACCGGTGATTTTTTCACAGATCCAAACTCTACCTAGCTAGCTAATCTTTTTGGTTTGCTCTCTTTTTTTCTCTCTTTTTCTGACATGGGTTTTGTATTTTTCTACATTTTCTTTAGTGTTTGTGTGAATGTTACTCATGATGTTACATTTCATGTCCAAAAGTTTTAATAATGTTGTTTGGGAGGAAATTTTGAAATGACTTTTCTTTAAAAATTTTTCCTTTTTGAAAAGTAATTATTGTTGATATAAAAAGTTTTTGCCTTTCTTTATTTGTGTATTGAGATTTCCAAAATGTATTTTAAGATATTTATATACTGCTGAAAGAATTTCATAAGGGTGTTTGGGAAACTTGAATGAAATGACTTTTCTTTAAAGATTTTACCTTTTGGGAAAGTGATAATTGTTGGTGTAATTTTTTTTTCTTTCTTTATTTGTGTATTGAGGTTTCCAAAATGCATTTGGTTTTTGGGGTTATTTTAGATGTTTATATCCTGATTTGAGCATTTCTCTCAACAGGGTATTGGTTAAGTTTGAGGGATGCTGATCTGTGTAGCCATTTGAATCTCATAGATTGTTTTGCTGTGGAAATATGGTTGTGTGAAGGTAATCCATTTTTTCTCTTTTTCTGTTCTTGATACCTGATATTTCTTATTTTCTTTCTTAGAGTTTGATTTGTTCATAATTGCCATGCTTCTCTTGTAAAGATTGTAACTCTATGCTGTTTTTGTTACCAAGTTCATTTCTTTGAATGAATCTCTCTTTTCTCTCTTCATTAGTAACTGTCTCTCCTTATATTGTGGGGTTGGGGGTGTTTTTTCTTTCTTCAAGATTGGATTTTTTCAGTTTGTTGTTGGCTCATTGAGTTGAATTTCTTCTTGAAGATTGGATTTTTGTGGTTATTGTTTGCTCATTGAGTTGATTTTCTTCTTCAAGATTGGATTTTTTATGGTTATTGTTTGCTCATTGAGTTGAATTCCTTCTTCAAGATTGGATTTTTATGGTTACTGTTGGCTCATTGAGTTGATATTCTTCTTCAAGATTGGGGTTTTCTGGTTATTGTTGGCTCATTGAGTTGATTTTCTTCTTCAAGATTGGATTTTTTATGGTTATTGTTTGCTCATTGAGTTGAATTCCTTCTTCAAGATTGGATTTTTATGGTTACTGTTGGCTCATTGAGTTGATATTCTTCTTCAAGATTGGGGTTTTCTGGTTATTGTTGGCTCATTGAGTTGATTTTCTTCTTCAAGATTGGATTTTTATTGAATTTCTTCTTCAAGATTGCATTGTTATGTTTATTGTTGGCTCAATTCGTTGGATTTCTACTTCAAGATTGGATCTTTATGGTTGTTGTTGGCTCATTGAGTTGATTTTCTTCTTCAAGATTGGATTTTTATTGAATTTCTTCTTCAAGATTGCATTGTTATGTTTATTGTTGGCTCAATTCGTTGGATTTCTACTTCAAGATTGGATCTTTATGGTTGTTGTTGGCTCATTGAGTTGAATTTCTTCTTCAAGATTGCATTGTTATGTTTATTGTTGGCTCAATTCGTTGGATTTCTACTTCAAGATTGGATCTTTATGGTTGTTGTTGGCTCATTGAGTTGAATTTCTTCTTCAAGATAGAATTTTTATGGTTATTGTTGGCTCAATGAGCTGATGTTTCTTTAATTCTGTATTAGGTTATTATATTTTCACTACTTTTGCATCTTTTTTTTACTATATTTGGGAAGATTTAGTTTCGAGATAACGACTCCACTCTTTTAGTGGCTAAATTCATTAACTTCTGGAACCTATTTAGTTTAGGCCGAGTCTTTCAGATATGGAAATTTGAAATAACATGGGTGGATTGCAATCAAGCTTTGTTCTTTTCTATGATCTGGTTCTCAATGTTTTCTCGTTATTATAGCAGAGAAACAAGAGTTAAAATGGAGGAAGGATGCGAGTTTAGACAATGGGATGAATTGTTACCCGATGCGCTTGGGCTAATATTTAGAAACCTTTCCCTTCAAGAGGTGCTAACTGTAGTTCCAAGAGTTTGCAAGTCATGGGGAAAAGCAGTTAAGGGACCTTATTGCTGGCAAGAGATTGACATTGAGGAATGGAGCAAAAACCGCTGCCCCGAGAACTTTGATCGGATGCTTCGATTGCTTATTCCAAGAAGCGGTGGTTCCCTCCGTAAACTCTGTGTCTCTGGTCTCTCGGACAAATCAAGCTTCGAGTTCATTGCTAACAAGTTAGTATATCATTTTCATTATTGCAGTTATCTATTTCTTATTGAAGATAAACATCAATTTAAGATACTATGCCTCGTGTCATAATGAATTATGTAGAAGTTCAAATTCTTTCAACTCATTTTGTATACACTTTCCGAGTCAATGTATTTGGATACGAGTCTCTATAAGGAAGCCAAATCCTTGGATGATAACAAAGAATAAAGAATACATTTTGGAAAAAAAGAGGAAATATGGAAGTTATATTGTTTTTCGAGTTTGTTGCTGATCTAGTTGGAATTCAGTAGACTTGTCATGTAGCTATCAAGAACATGTCATTATGTTTCTTATCCCCTTCAATAGCAGTAAATATTTACTTGGATTGAACATGAACTTCTCTGTTTTGGTTGCTAGTTCCAAATCTCTGCAGACATTGCGGTTGCCAAAGTGTGAGATAAACGATTCCGTAGTGGAACAGGTTGCCGGAACGTTTTCCAACATTACATTTTTGGATGTAAGCTACTGCATAAAAATAGGAGCGAGAGCCCTGGAAGCCATAGGAAAGCACTGTAAATACTTGACTGGTTTGCGTCGAACAATGCACCCCCTTGAGGTTATTGACAAGCTCTCACAAGACGATGAAGCCCTTGTAATAGCTACCACGATGCATAAGCTCAAACAACTAGAAATCGCCTACATGCTAGTTGGTACATTGAGCATAATGGAGATTCTTAAGAACTGCAGGCAGCTCGAACTATTGGATGTAAGGGGTTGTTGGAATGTGAATCTTGATGAAAACCTTGTCAAGAAATTCCATAAGCTAAAGGTTGTCGGACCCCTTGTTGTCGATTGCTACGATAAGAATGGCTGGGACAATTGCTCGGATTATTCGGGTTCTTCTGGCTATATACCATGGGACTTTGTAGCTGGTGACATTGATGACGACTTTGATGATGATGAGATGTCCGATGGGTATTGGGAAGACGATTGGGAAGATGACCAACGTGTGGAGGACGTGGAAATGTGGTTTTATGATGACTTAAATGCTGTAGATTCTGGATATGATTGGCCACAATCTCCTTGAGGTTTGCTGAACAAAGTTCCCTGATTCAATTTCCACAAGTTTTCATATACTTATCTTCTATATGCTATTGACTCTGCTTATAATACTACTATCTAAATGAAAGTTTGCCTGCTTTCTAAGATGTAAATCTGGTTTCCATGTCCATCTATCCTTTTCCTCTTCTTTCTGCTCCTATTTTCTCCTTTTTTTCGTCGGATTATATGTACTTCCCGGAATCATGTATAATAAAATGATTGCCATGCTATCAACTGATTTAGTTGAGTATATACTTTGCTTCCTCCTTTATTTTTTTTGTGCCCGTTGCTACTATCGCGCTTTCCATAGTTCTTTGTCACAACTGCTGTGCTTTTGCTTTAATGAGCCGAGGGTCTTCCGAAAATAGCCTCTCTATCTTCACAAGGTAAGGGTAAGGTCTACGTAGATACTATCCTCCCCAAATTTCACTTGTGGGAATACACCTGGTATGTTGTTGTCGTCTTTCTTGAAGCTATCAATGGAGCAAGGCGTTCTGCTATCGCTCTTCCTGTTTTTTAGTACATGTACATTGACTATCACAATTTTTCCCATAGTTATTTTCATTGTCACAAGTCCATTTTTAACCTTTTATAGCCTACCCCATTAATCACACCTATGTTTACAGTTCATACATTCTTCATCAATACAACAACAACAAATGTAGTGTGGTTCGACAGGTGGGGTCTGGGGTAGCGTGCACGCAAACTTAATTCTTACCTTGTGAAGATACAGAGATTGTTTCCGATAGGCCCTCGGCTCAAGAAAAACATGTAAAGAGAAGCAGTATCGATAGTTGAAAAAATAAAATAGCCGCAGCAAAAAAAACAAACAGGTAGTAATAACCCTTCTTCATCAATGACCACAAATATAGTATAAGATGAAAGGGGGGTTTGTTTTGTGGTTTAAGCTAGGACAAAGTTATCTTGCTTTAGGGACCAAAAAATCTCAATAACTGCTATACTTAAAGAAATAAAGCACATGAAAAAGGGCAAGAAACAAAGGAAAAAGAGGTTTGTATACCAACTCCAGCACTAAAAGAAAGACAAAGAGAAAGTTAAAAACTAACTTTTGTAGTGAAATAAAGATAGCAAATGCAGATAGATTTTCCTCCAATTCCACCAACTTCAGGCTCGTTTGGTACGAGGGATAAGGGATAATTAATTTGAGGACTAAATTTGAGATGAATTTATTTCATGTTTGGTTGGAATAAATTCGCAGTATAACTAATTTTGGAATTATAGTATTTTCTATGGGAGGGTGAGATAACAATCCCGAAATAACTTGTTTCCCGGCCAAACGACCCATTAGGGGGAAACATAGGGGAAAAGCAAAGATTGACAAAGTAGAAGAGTGAACTGAAAGCCAGAATCCAACAAAATATTATGTTTAAGTTATTTTCATGGGCCCTCAAAGAGACACCTAAGGACAAACATGAGAAATAATACATTTGACTTTGTGTTCAAAAAGCATGTCTACTTTATTTTTATTTTTTTTTCTTATGTGTTTTTTTAAGAAAAAATGATACTGTATAGCTGCTGTAAAAATAATACCCGAAAAATTGTATAAAATTTGTATATATTTTTTTTATATATATATATATACACATTCTGTATGTTATATATAAAAATTATATAAATTTTATATATTTTTTTGGCTATAAGATATAAATAATTTCTGGCACGAGCTAAAAATAATAATAGAACACAGAACATCTTAGGTCTTGTTGAAATGTTGGCTTGGCTTTCTTCACTTAGGGACTCAATCATGAGTCTTTGCATCTATTCTTTCAAACATATTATTATGTTGACATATGTCACTTTAACTATGTCTATTTGAGTTTTGTATATCATGGACAATTCCAAATATAGATAAAAGGAACATTGTGGTAGGTTTGACGATCAACGTAAAATCTAAGAACATTAAAGAAATACAAGAACGTAACAGTCGACAACTTTCTAAATGATGCCAATCATGGAATAAATCAATAAAATATGTTACGGTGTGCAACCCGATTCCATGAATATCCTCATAAAATCAGGCTCTCGGTCTCACTCAGTCATTGACCTCTTCAGTCTCTCGGGCTCTCAAAAATCATGATAACCAACCCACACAATAATGATATAATGTATCAATAATGAGCAATAGAGACGGAGATGTAATAAATAAGTAAAACTATGACTGGGTACAAAACAACAATTTAACAGATAATTCAACTTACACACGACCTCTGTGGGTCCCTACAGTGCCAACCCATAGTCTAAACATAATTTCTAACATGATTTGCAGTTCAATTTCTATTACACCCCATATTTTTCTACGTGAGAGTACATCATAAGTCAATTGCAGTTCAATTTGAAAGTACATAAAGTAAGTTAATCATGTTACCTTGTAGGTTACAAATCTTTAAGATCATGGATAACAACTACCAAGAGGGTTGAAAGGCTTAGGAGCTAAGCAAATTGAAGAAAATAAGTTTCGCCGAATGTCGACAAATTGAAAATGTTATAACATGTACTTTTGGGGTGATACTATGGTTCTTAACATGATAAGGAGCTTATTTTATGAGTTATTTTAGTTGTATGATAGTCGTGTGTTACATTTTGAAGTCAAGCGAGTTTTGGAACAAAGGTTGGCAAAGGTCATCACAAGTTACATTCATAATGTGCTGAATATTAGTTCAAATGTAGCAGAGCTTTTATCCTAATATACTAGGAATTACAGGATGATCCATATATCAAATTGAATATCTATGGGTCTAGTTTCTAACGCATTAAACCGTTCGTTGATTCGACATCGAAGAAGAGAGATATTTGCAGTTTCGCGAGACTGCGCAGACTGCATAGGTGACAAGTAGGTGGGTCCCTAAAGCTTTTTGAGCAATATCTTTTGTGTGTTATATGAGGTCTTTTTGGGACATATTATATACCAAATTGAAGGTCTTGGAATATAGTTTCCAATTCATTTTATCGTTTATTCATATGACATCCGGATACAAAGATATAAGTGTTGGAAGAAGAGCCAAGGGTGCCAAGTAGCACCTTTTTGACTTTTCAACAAATTGGATAGTTATATCCCTTATGTCATCTGTTTCTTCATTTTTACAGAAACCACAACCAAATAAGACCCATAAACTTAGCTTTAAGCTCTCTACAAGGGTTTCAAAGAAGATTAACATCCCGGGTACGAAATCAAGAAGCGATAACATTTGAACGATCCCTACGACGTAAGTATCGCTATATCGCCTTTCTTTTTCTTTGTAGTTTGAGTTTTGGAAGGTATTTAATAGTTAAGAAAATGTATAATTTCTGTATTTAAGATTTTAAATATCAAGTAAGTTTGATAAATTTGTTTTCTAATAGTTAGAACTCACGGAACGGTGATCGAAAGCCGTGAGTTCGAGTTATTCGACTTTTAGTGGGCTGTTTTGTGGTTGTTTCGTGTTGTTTTTGTGCTGTCTATTTTGCTACTATTTAATATAGTTTTGGAGGATAAATTATGTGTAGAAACCCCACATAATGGAGAAATGGTGGATTAGTCGTTCTTTGAACATTTTCGGGGTATTTGAGACTACTATAGTTGTCATTTTGAGTATGAAGTGATTGAGGTGTGTTAGGTTGTTGTAAGCTTAATATAACATGGATTTTGACTGTAATCCACTATAGTAGGTAATTATATTGTGTTCTTTCATGTTCTTAAGGTTATCTTAATGTTGATTAAGTTAACTGGATGGGCTAGACATGAACTAGTGAGAAAAGTTGCTAATTGAGGATAGTTGGAGTTGTGGATTGTTTTCTTTGTTATAAATATATGGTATAAGATGGAATCATTGGTGAATAACTTCATTATCATATTAATGATATTGTTAAGTTAAATTAAGGAGTCTATAAGGGGTGATATGGGGTATACAAGGTTCAATCGGAGCTTGCCGCTCATCGTGAAGTAGTTGTGACTTGTTGTTGTTATATGGTGTCTTGTTATTGATAATTATATATTGCTGGATTACTGTAGTAATTGTTGTTGGTATATGGTATTAGAGGAGGCTTTTGTTACAGGGTAGATGCTGCCCAAATTTACATAAACGAGCTACTAGTTTAAGTTGCAGACTTAGCCTTTACTCAACACTGATTTTGAATCTCTTTATGCTATTGTAGATTGAGTTGAGTTGTTTGAAAAATTGCTTGGAAGGGATTAAGGACGCATTGGAGTTAAGGTATGTTAAGGATATCCCTTCTTTCCTTTTGGCATGATCCATATGATACAAACGAAACGAGCAAGCGCAGAACTTTCACAAATGACTCTATTCTTAGAAGTACTAGGGTGCCTATGTTCTTGATTCTCCATGTGTCCTATTATTATATCGTCTGTTCATGGGTCTCAGAAAATACGTAAGTTGATAAATTTTATTTCATGATATTAATCGAAGGCATATTAATCTTATGACATCCCGGGAGATATTATTGACTTACTTCTTATGCATTGCATTCATTTATACATGTACATTGACTCATGACCAGATGACGTTATATAAGTGTATATTATATGTATAAGGGATATGGAAAAAGGTTATAGCGTTATATACGCACCACCACTTGATAAGATAGTCTACGTTGATGATTTCGCCCACAGAGGCCGAGATGATATGATGGGATGCCCTCAGAGGCTTAATGATGTTATGTACGCACATACCTTACATACTCGGTACTTTATTTATACTGACGTCTCTTTTGCCTGGGGACGCTGCGTTTCATGCCCACAGGTCTCTATAGACAGGTTGAGGGTCCTCCTAGTAGGCTATCAGCTCAGCGGAAAGTGTTGGTATACTCCACTTGCTCCGGAGTTGCCTATCTGGTCAGTATAATTTGGACATATACTGATTGGTATGGTGGGGACCCGTCCCGACTTTTATGATGTTTATGCACTCTTAGAGGCTTGTAGACATATATCAGGTATATAGATGATTGTATGGCCTTGTCAGCCTATGTTTTGAGTGTACAAATGATCACGTCAGCCTTATAGAAACGTATGTCACATGTATAAGTTTCTATATCATGTTGGATCTTCTTATATCTATTATTCCCTTATTTTTTATTCTGGTTATCTCATGATGTCACTTCTGGACCATTTACCCATGATGGTATGATAATAACGATACGTTACGTTGGTGCTCGGTTAGGTAAGGCACGGGGTGCCCGTCGCGGCCCATCGATTTGGGTCGTGACAATTTCTATTACATATGGAGAATATACGGATA